CTGAGGAATGGGAGATGGGGACCCTAAGGAATGGGAGATGGGGACCCTAAGGAATGGGATGTGGAGGGGGCCCCAAGGAATGGGATATCCGAGTTATCTCCTACCCGTTATCTGCTGTTTACGTGCTGCCTCTTCTGTCGCCGACACCGCTACTGGAATCGGCTGCAAGTGTTTTCCTGTTGTGGCCCTACTGCTAATTGTTTCCTGGCAATGTAACGGGAATTCAGGGCTGGCTTTTGGCGGTGGCACCTCTTTTACCAGTCCTGGTCCCCACCTTTCCAGGAGCAGGACCCTTAGGGCTGAGCCCGAGGGCTTGTCCTGCCTGGTGAGTGCTTTGTGGAGGTGTTTTCCAGTACCTTGAGAGCCCCCTGTGTTCGGGCAAGCATTCCTGCCTGATTGCAGTTATCAGCGTTGTTTATATGGACGCCACCTCCTTCTCTCCCTTAATCTTGGAAGAGGCTTTTTCCATCCATGCTCTTCCCAGTGATCCTGGCAGAAAGCTGAAGTTGTGGTGCCCTGCTCCTGCTGGGCAGGTGTTGCATATTTTTGTGTGTCTCAGCCCATAAACCGTGTGCTGAAGCCTGGTGGTGTTGCGCCAGCAGAGAAAATCAGATTTTTGTTAAATTCAGTCCGTGCAGGAAGAGGTGTGTTCGTACCTGGAAAAATGCTCCTAAATCCCAGCCTTGCTGGAGTTATTCCATAAATCCCCATAGCAGCATGCATGAGTGTAGGTAGAGGTGTTTTTCTGTGTGTTAAACACACGTCCCTTGCCATGAAGAAAACCGAGCTGACACTGAAGCCGCACGTTTGGAATACGAGCCGAGGGCGATGGGATTTGGCTGGAGCCTGGCATGGAGGAGTGGGAGGGGAGGGCACTTGGCTCTCACCCTGCCAATCTGGGCAGCAGCGGAGCCGAGGGTGTTGATTCCGATGAAGGAGGTGACATTCCTGCCAGTGCAAGCTGCAGAGGAGCGCTGGGATGCTGCTGGATCCCGGCGGGATCCCTGTGGAGCCCTGACGTGTGCGGGTGTAGCCGAGGGACATTGTGGCCTCGGGGACAAAAGGACCTTTCCTGGCGGGCACACCACATGTAGGCTGAGCGAATTGCGGGATCCCGGTGCCAGCCTTTAAATGGAAAATGGGTAAAGCTGTCCTTTCCTTACTCCCTCTTCAGTGTGGCTCTTGCCAGCTGTTTTGTGTAGCCTTAAAATAACCTATTTTTGCTGTAGAATCTCACCTCGTTGCAGCTTTTTTGTGGTGGTGACAGGGCTGTCACCCCAGTCTGAACGCTGTAATGGAGTTAGTGTGGCCATGTGGATCGTTCCTTTGGAAATCTGGATGTGCCTTGTTCTGTGTCAGGTGGTCCCTCCCAGGAGGGCAGCGTGGACAAGTGTGTTTCTTAGCTTCCCTATTTATCCAATTTTCTTTTCCCTAGTAGCTTGTGCTAGCAACCAGGAGTTTAAATATCTGGAAAAGTCCCAAGTTTTTTCCTCGTGTTACTTTTGCCCTGCATATGTCAGAGTATCCTTTGGCAATGACTCAGTTCCTACCCTGTCCAAGAATAAAGATTGTCCAGGGGAATGATTTTCTTCCTGTGACCCTCGAGACTCCTCTCTGAGGTGACCACAGGAAAGGGAAATTTTTAAGAGTGGCTGCCCTCTGACTTTGGAAAAACACAGAAAGCACCTTCTCTTTGGAGTTCAGGAGTTAGGGATAAGGTTACTCTCATAGCTCACTCCTTTTGGGAAAATGAGAGGGTTTGGGATCTGTGGACACAGAAATCATTCCAGCAGTAGTTTAGTTTGCAGAGATGATTTTCCTGCTATAAATGTGGTCCTTGGGAAAGGTGGAGCTTCCTAGCTGGCTTCCTGCTCTTTACAATCTGTTTGAAACTTTGGAAAACCACTTGTGTGCTGATATCTCTGGTCTTATTCCATGTAAATGACTTGGAACTGGAAAATACTCCCTTGTGGGAACCTGCTCAGTCAGGCAGCTCCTGGCAGCTCCCTTTGCCATTAGGAAATGCCAAGGGAAGGGAACAGGAGGGAAGCTTTTTGAGGCAGATCTGTGGTTTCTGTATCATTTATCCCTGAACTAACTACTTAGTGGAGAGCTGGGAATGCCAAGCCTGCCTGGCAAGCCACTGGAACATGTTCCCTGTTGTTTCTAGCACCTTGGGTTGTTCTGTGTGCCTCCAGCAGGAGCTTTCACACAAAGCCCTGCTTATTCTGGGGTCATTTAGTTGGATATTGTGTGTGATGTTCTCCTAAAATTTCTGTAGGTATTTCATAGCTTGTCTTTAACCAAAGAAGATTTTCCAGGAAAACATCCATCAGGTCTCAATTTGAGGGTGTTGGGAGGTGCCAGATGCACTTTCACCACCACGTTGTGACTCTGTGGGTTAATTGCTTTTGCAAAGCCTTACTTTAATTTGGATTTCATTAGCTTTAATGCCACCTTTTGATTATTAACTTGTTTTATCTCTCACATAAATAATCTCGTGTTGCCAGCACGTGGATGTGATATTAATTCCTGAGGTCATGGTGTGGCAGCAGAGATCTGTGGAGCTCAGGATGTTAAAATTAATAAGCAAAGAACTAAAAAAGAGGGAATGGCAGTGATTCTGTAGACTAATAGCAGCGTTTGTAGGAATTATTTCCACCTTTTTGTGCAAAAAAGCGTGGAATTTGCAGCTAGGGAAGAGGCAGCCCCTGCTGGCGTGTTCCTCTCGGTTTGTTCAGTGTTGTGACTCTTCCCAGATGGCCTGGGAAATGGGGATATGTGTGGGCAAACCAGCTGGTGTTGGAAAGAAGGGATTTGGAACCCAAAACATTCCTTACCCATTCCGTGTGGAGATTGCTCTTATCTCTGAAATAGCCGGGATTTGCTAAGAGCGATCTGGAGGAAGAGGTGGGGATTTATCCGGAAGAGAGATTAGGGAGATGGAATATCCACGAGTTAGCAGGAGCTGCTCCCTGTTCCCCCTCCTCAGGGATGGCCCTGGCACTTCCAAGGCAGCGTTCCTTGAGTTTGCTGGGAGCTGAACATGGGATTTTTCCCTACTTTAATGGGGCCACACTATGCCCACTCAGGATTCACCACACTGGAGAAAAGGAATGTTGCTCCAGAGTCCAGGGTCACCCTGTCATGCTTTTCCAGCCTGTGGGAATGCCCTGGGCAGGGAGCAGGGACATGCAGGCCTTTTGCAATCCTACTAAGCTCCTGAAACACACATTTCCATAGGTTTAAGGAAAAAAGTGTTTAATAATCAAAAATAGGGCATTTGTGGAACTTGAAAGCTCTGTAGAACTGATGGAAACTTTGGGAACTCAGTCTTTCCTCCTGATTGGAAGGAAAACCCAGGATTTGGCAAAGCTTTGCTGTTGCCCTGTGGTTCTGGGTCTCTGGAGGTCTGTGTTCCTGGGCTTCTTTGAGGAGATGGCAAGGAAAAGGGACGTTGCTATTTTGGAGTGTCACAAGTCTGTATGGAAATGTAATCGGCCCCGGGTGACTTCAGGGATGTGCTGGTGACTGCTCTAAGAATAGGGACTGTTTTATTATTATTATTGCTTGGTCTAAAGTTAGCATTAATTTTTGTCGTATCTTCTCGTGTCTTATTCTTCATACAAACCCTCTGCTGCTTTTGGAGGAAAGGGCTTGTTGTACTACTCACCATATCTTCTTAGAATTCCCAGGTGATGTGTTGATTTATGGAGAGTACAGAGCTTTGACATCCATTTAAAAATCTCTTTCAGGAATGGTTTAATGAATTTTCCATTATTTGGAATAAAGAATTAAATCGTGAAAAAGTTACTGGTGGGACTAATTGGGTTTGCTGACAGATCCTTTCACCAGCAGCCCAAATTAATGCAACTTTTTCAACCCAAGTGCAAACTGGACTGGCTCTCCTTTGGAATTTTGTTCCACTTAAGAGGACTGACCAAAATATTAATAAATAAATTCTTTGCATTGTGTTCCAGTGATTATTATTGTGTTCAATGGAGTTGTTGCATCACTGGTGACAAACAAGCCATGGATAACAAGGGTGCGGTCCCTGCTTAAGCTGATTTTAATTTGTGGGAGATTAAATGAGGCCATGGGCCACCTGCTCTTGGGTGTTACTCTCTCTTTTTCACCCAAGGATCTGCCAGAATCTCCCCAAAAATGACGTGTTTAAACAATTTCCTTACACAATTTCTGTCATAGACTTCAGTTGGAAGATAAAAGCGCTCGTAGTCGTTTTCTTGACAGACTTGTGGTGTCTCAATGTGACAGGAGAATGACCTAGCATGAAAAAGAGAAGTTGGGATCAAGCTTAATCCCATTAACTAGGAAAAAAACCACCCTTTTTTGTGATCTGCAGTGCTCTCACTTGGTGTTTGAATTAGCAGGGCAAGGGCTTGTGTGAGAACAAACCTGATTTATTTCATTTCAATCTCCCAGGGCATGAGTAGCGAAAGAGCCAAATGCGTGGTGAAGAAAGGCAGAAAAATAAACCACTTAATATTCCAGCTTTTTAGCAGTTTGGGATTTGTTGTGAGTTCTGTCCCTGCCCTTAGATATTTTTGTGCTTGGAGAAGTCAGGCACTGCTTTGCAGAGTTTTTGGTGTGAGACCTCCCAGATCTGGCTGCAGTTTGTACCCCCTTTGTTTCGGGCGTGTTGCCCAAACTCCTGTGTGTAATTCTAAGGGGAAGATTCCCAGCTTAGCTTTCTTCAGCCTCCCAGGCTCCAGGCCAGGACAACATAAGCCTTCCCATGTAATTCCTGCCTTGCTTACCTTGCTGGGCTGTTCTTAGCTCGCCTTGCCCTGGTGTGTTATTTTAAAATGTGTGTGGAGATAAAAATCAATCCCCTTGTGCTGTTCAATTCATCCCCATCTCTCGGACAAGCATTTCCTTAAGGAGAGCTGCTCCTTTTTGTGGAATTCTATTTTATTTTTAAACTCCTGGGCTGTGAGAAGACATGGTGTACATCCATATTTCCTGGCTTTTTTTCCTCTCTGAAGTGGATTTGTGTGATGCTATGTTTCCCCTCATTGCTGTGTCACTGCTCACAGCTCTCTGGCAGAAGTCAAGCCCATCTCCAGAGCCTTTCATCTCAGCTCCTGCAATTCACACTGCACTGGAAACACCTTTAGCTTGAAAACCTGCTAGGAGGGAATCTGGCAGCATCTGGAGATGAAAGCTGAGCTACAAGGGAAGTGATGAGAGAGCAGCCTCTTGTTTCTCCTCAAACAGGGCAGCTGGTTGGGTTTCAGGCTGGTGGCTGTGGCACCAAAATTAAATGGGAAATGGGATGTTGGGGCTCTCCAAAACCGACCCTTCACTGTCCTGCAAGATCCTCACAGGGAGGAACGCAGCTGAATCATCCTTGTGCTGGTAGAGGGATTCCTCGAGGTGTTTGTCCAAGGGAGGATGTATAATAATTGACTTTTTGGCAATTTATGGGATCTGAACACGTTGAAAAAGCAGCTGACTTGGTCTGGGTGTTGAGGTGGGATTCCTAGATTTGCTTTTGTAGCCTCTTCAAAAATAAACAATGTTACAACATAGATATTACATAATATCCATAGCTCCACAACAGTATCTGTAACTGTGTACCAATATAACAATGCAATCATAAGCTACAAAACAAGGCATGAGACACCAAAACGTTTTTGGTGTTTGCCGTAGAATCCATTCATTGTTATCCACATGTAAATGCATCAAGCAGAAGCGTGGTGTGATTGGAGGCTGCCTGCTGTCCTGCCTCCTGGGAGAGGCTGGGGTTTAGTTTTCCAGCTCCTGCAGGATCCAGGGCAAGGCCCCACGTGAGCACTGATGGCTGAATCACCTTTCCTGGCACCTGGGAAGATGCAGTTGCCCAGCAGGAGCTTGTGGCTCCCAAGCTTTTCCCTGGGTTTTGGCACGCTGATTCCTCTCTAATTCTGGAAGTACTCGTGGATCCTTGAGTTTTTCTTCTGGAGCTGGTGGTGTTCAAGTGGGGAGAGCCTTCAATGCCAAACTCTGTTCTGGCAGGGGCAGAAGAGGATTGAGTCTGCTTATGAGGTATTGTGTGTGTTCCTAGTGGGATTGCAGGGATGCTGTGGAGTTTGGAGCAGGATGGAATTTTCATTCAGTAGCACCCTTTCTTTGACTTTCAGAGCAGTTTTAGGTGGGTTACTGCGGGGTTGTTTAAAATTAAATCAGTGAATAGTTTGGAAATTCCAAGGTTTGTTGTGTACCACGCAACCTGAGTATACAAACCTTGGCATGGCCTGGAGATGGGATGTGAGCTGCTTGCTGTTACAAAATAATATATAAAGAAAATGGAAATAGACCCAGTTGAAATATTTCACATACGTACACTTTCTTTTCCAGGTTTTCCCCTGCCTAAGTTTCCTTTTTATATGTGGTTTGTTTTATTTGTGTTAAGGGATATTGTCCTCTAAACCAAAACTCATGGCATGACCTTTGGCCTTACATGGACAGAGTTCCCATGCTTCCCAGGTGAGGCCAGGGGATCTTTCCAATGAAAACAATAATTGGCTTCTATTTAGGAAAGGAATTTTCAACTTGAAGTAAGAGAAGATGTGGGCATTGTAGGAATATTCTCTGTGTGGGGATCAGTGGGTGTAGGGTGTGGGTGTCACCTGGCTGGGTGTGCTCTGCTCGCTCTCCTTCCATAGAATCATGGAATCCATGGAATGGTTTGGGCTGGAATGGACCTTAAAGCCCATCCAGTCCCGAGGGCAGGGACACTTTCCACTGGCCCAGGTTGCTTCAAGCCAAATCCAGCCTGGCCTTGGACACTTCCAGGGATAGGACAGCCACAGCTTCTCTGGGAAACCTGTGCCAGAAGAATTTCTCCCTGAGTGCTTCACCAAAATTTGTATAAACCTCTTGGCTCCCATGGATGGGGACGTTTTACTGCTATGGAACAGCCCCCCAGTTTTGTTGACCTGGCTTTTCCCACAGAAACCCCTTGTGCTAAGTGCATCAGAGTTCTTACAGCAGCAACCTAGAGATTTTTTTTAAAAAAACCTTTTTTTAATGACTACTTTTTCTTGTGTAATTCCCACGTCTGGAGTGAATTCCCTTTGTTTGCTCTCAAGGGCCTGTTCCCTCAGCTGCAGTTTTGATTAGTAGGCTGTGAAATAGAGCAGCACTGTCAGGTGTGGACCTGCCAAACCTCGGGAGACACCTGGAGCTGTTTAGATCTGGGTGTTTGCACCGAGTGCTGGCTTTTTCCAAGCTGCTGCTGTGACCACATGCAGTGCCACTGTAAATTCTGTGCTCTGTGATACAGAAAACCTCAATATTCCTGACTGCTGGCCGTGGGTTTGGCCTCCTGAGGCTGCACTGGCAGAGGGAGATGTGAGTTTTCCTGCTTTTTAATGTCAGTTTTCCGTGTTCTGAATTTCAGGAGAGCTCATACCCTGACAGTCCTGTTCATCCTCACGTGTGCACTGGGCTACGTAACCCTGCTGGAAGAGACTCCCCAGGACACAGCCTACAACACAAAGAGGTGAATATCTGAGCAACATCTGAATATTCCCTGGTGTGTTTCGGAAATGGGACCTCCAGTGACCCCTGCACTCCCTTGTGGAAGTGCCTGTTCCCTTAGGAAGTTACAAAACCAGTCATAAGTCTGTAAGCTTCTCTGATGCTGATCATTGAATTTAATTTCTAATCAGTTTAGTGTCACTGTCAGGCCTGTGGCTGCTCTGTGGTGTGAGCAAAATAAAGAATAAAGCAAAACACAAAAAAGCTTGCTAAAGCCTGCTGGCTGGGTTTCTTTGGCAAGGGTTCTGCCTCTGTTTCTTAAAATAGCCTTTTCTTAAAAACAACCTTTCCTTCAAATAACCATCATTTCAAAATGCTGGGAGCTGTGACTAAATTTTTTTGGCTCAACTGCTTTTTGTAAAATTCTGTTCAAGATTTCACTACAAATCCTTGTTTGTTGTTGAAAGTTGCTGTGAGAACGTGTAGCCCAGAGGGAAGCTCTGGGGAAATAAGAATGAATCTTACATGTGTGGTCAATTTCTGCTGTAATTTAAACTGATTCAATGTGGTTGAATTTTTCTCGTTTTAAAATACAACAGGGAAGAAAAGGGAGGTAGGAAAGTGGTGTTTTGAAAAGCTAAGTATGTTTTGAAAATATATTGCAAAGCATCATTGCTAGAAGCAAGAAAATAATTGTTTTCTACTAGTCTGGTTTCTTAAATATAATGAGATTTTTCCTCTTGCTTTTGAAGGGTTTTTTTTTCCTCTTTTTGTACATTTCTGAAGTGACTCAGGATATAGCATCCATTGTCCTGGAGATGCAGGAATTGGGGTATTTCCTGAGATAATCTTGGCTGTTGTTCTGGCAGTTACACAATGCCTGGGAGTGATGGAACTCACACTGTGCCCCACTGAGAGCTGGGATTTCACATGTAGGGGTGAGATGGGACAAACTGGAAGGTATCTGGAGCCTGGGAAAGGTTCTGGAAGGTTTCTGTGAGAACAAATGCCATTTTATTCCCAGTCATAATGAGGGAGGCCAGGCTGGAGGGGTGGTGTGGCCTGGAATGGCCACTCTGAACTGAGAAGGGGAAAAGCTGAAAGAGAAGTGGTGATGCATCCTTAGGGAGTAATACAGAGCTAAGGTGACTCAGTGGAATATCTTATTATTGAGCTTAGAGCCTCGACTGCTTTAATCAAAACAAACCCAGGGAAGATTAGTCAGCAGGTGCATCTTTCTCTCAGGAAACACGAGTTGTTTTCTGCTTATCCAGTGCCCAAGTCGTTAAAATCAATTTACAGCATCATGCCAGGGAAGGGGCAGCAAACAGGTTTTGCTCACTCCTGCAACTCTGCAAGGTCTTGGCACAAAAATCCTTGAAAAGCAGCATACTGAGGCTTGGACGTGATCTTGCAAATATTCCAGATTTCGTGTATCTCTGAACAAAAGGAGGCATTTCAGAGCAGCATAAGATGGGCAAAATGTGCATCAAAGCCCAGATTATCAGAGGTTTTGTAGTTTTGCTTCCATAATTTAAAATCCTTTATCGTGCCCCAAGACCTTTGTCAGTCCTGGCGTGGAGCTGTGTTGAAATGTGATTCCAAGCCCCATGCAGCACGAGGCTGTCCCTGTGTGCTGGTATTCCTCAGGAACACTTGGTGCCTAATGACCAGGACAGGTTTCGTCACCAGGGAGCAGAGTCTGGAGCTGTCACGGGGTTTTATTTCCACCTCCTGCACACTGACAGTGGGAGCAGTGTCTGGGGTAGGTGCAAAGCCTAAATACACATTTCCAAAAGCTCCAGCCTCCTTTGTTTCCATGCCCTGGCTGAGGTGTCCCTGTGAGCTGCAGTAGGTGCTCAGAGCAGTAAATTGAGGTGAACTTGCCAAATTTGCTGGCTCTGTGTTTCCCGGACTGGAGTCACGGGGTGGTCCCACCTTCCCCCCTTTATAAAATCAGGATTATGTCACCCTATAAAAGTGCTCCATCCAGTCAGTCACTGGCAGGAGCAGGGTGAGAGGTGGATTTGTGGAATCGCTCACAGGAGAAGGGATGGACAAGACCCAAGTTGAGAGCAGGAATGTCTGAGCTCACGGGGTGTGGTCTCTGTGGCTGAGATTGGTGTTTGCATCTGGACCTGCAACAGGGCAGGGCAATGGAACAATTAAAGGAGGATTGAGTGAAACAATTAAAGGAGGATTGTTGGGGTTTTTTTTCTTAAGATAAGGTTGCAGGTGCCTTTTATATGTAAATGTAGTAAGAGTTTATTGGGATCACACACGTGATCAAACTGCCCCTGGTGTAAGAGCAGTGGAACATTTCCTTTGTAAAGCAAGGAGAGATTGTGCTGTGAAACTGATCCATGAGAGCTTTATTCCCACAGTTCTTCCAGCCATGGAATAGCTCATCCTGACTGACAGCTGTGACATTCTCCTCTGTTCAGCCTGGTCTGAACTCCAGCTCTGAGCGTAGCCAAATAAACACTGAACACCTTCTCTGCATGGAAGAAATCCACAGCTCCCAAATACTTGGAATGCTGAGCAGGGTGTCTTGGAGGAAAAAAAGTTCTTTTTTTTTTTTCCCGTAAAAACACATTGGAGTTTAAAAACACCGGTGTATTTCAGGGTTGTACGTTGAATTTCCAGCTGGGAAATGTCTCTTCTGAGATGCTTTTTTACACAGCTCTTGGCAATCCCTGCTTTCCATAGGGACAGATCCAGGGATATGTGGGTGTGCATGCTCATCTGCTGCTGCTGTGGCTGAGCACCCACAGGGAAATGAAGGTAACAGGAGGCCAGAGCCCTCTTCCAGGGTTTGTGGTGCCCCGAGGGGGTTGTACCAGCTGTGCCAGCATGGATCCAGCCCGGGAAGGGACAGGGAGTGGGAGCTGGCTCCTTGAATCCCAGGACAGAGGGCCATACACAGCTCCTCATTGTTCTGTGTGTCTGAATCGACTCTTTGCACAAACAAAAGTTTATTTGTGCTGATGGAGCTGCTACCAGGCTCTCCCTTTTAAAAAAAATATTGGTTAAAATGATTTTTGTGGGCACACTTGGCTATTTTCTGCCTTCCTGATTTGCTGCTCAGGAAATTCCAGTGGCTGTGTCCAACCAAATGAGGAGAGGAGAGGAGAGCCCCTCTCAAGTGCTGGAGCATTCCTGCCTCAGGCCAGGCTGCTGCTTAGGCATTGGAAGCTTCCTAAGGAGGTAGATTAATGATGATAAGAGGAAAAATTTAATTACCACTGAGGGGAAAAAAAAAAATAAATGGATCTGGTGTGGTTATTTATGCAAATTTGTGATTTGCTTCCAAACTTCCTGTGGTGAACTTGAAGTAAATGAATATATCTGAATCTCCAGCATATTTCAGCACAGCTGCTCTTGGACTGAGAGTGGGTTTTAGGGGAAGGAGCACAGCTAAGCTCCTGTGGTGATTTGGGTCCAGGATTTGAATTCCAGCTTTGGGAAGACAACTCTCCCAAGCCCAGAGCAGTGGTCTGGACCCCTCAGTTCATGGCTGAGGTTGGAGTTGGATGGGGTTGTCACACCACAAAGGACTGGAGCTTCCGGATGCAGCCAGGGACTCAAAATGCAGAATATTCTCATTATTGGAAGTCAGCTGAAAGGGTTTTGCCCTCCAGATCTTTGGAAATCCCCATGGAACTCTCTATTCACAGATCCATTCAGCATCTAATTCTGGTGTGCTTCCCAGTGTTTAAAGCAAGCAGAATTACTGAGTTACATTTGCTAACTAAACCCCATTTTTATTTTCAGGAAGCACAAACATTTATACTCGGAGGTATATGTTGCAAAATAGTTTTTGTAAATCCTTTAGTCTTCTATTTTGAAAGATTTTTTTGACATGTTTAAAGCACAGTATCCTGTTGCTTCTGGTTTGTAGCATTTTCTGTCTGACAGCAAAATTACTGGGTATTTTGTGTGATTTCTGCAGACTGAGCCATTTTATTTGCAGTCAGGGCTTGCATCATTTTCTGCAAACATGGAATGAGCTCTTTCCCAGTTGTCCATCCTTTCAGCCAGCTCTTAAGCAGGTGATAGGAGACAGCAAGCAGGATCCAGTGGGAGTTGAGGTGCAGTAAACAGAGCATTTTTGCATTGCTTTATGCCATTTAATCCATTAAAACTAAAGGAACATTCCCAGGGTCGTAGGTCTTTGGTATATTTGGGCTTCTGGTCTGATAATTTATTTTTATTTAAATCTCTGTTATGTTCCTTAGGCTCTGTGTTATGGTTCCAGCTCTTGAAGTAGCAGCAGTGCTGCTGTGGTCTGGAAAGCTCCTGCTTGTCTCTAGTTGGTTAAGAAGCTGTTTTGGAGTGGTGACAAGTCTGACAGCTCCTTTTTAAATTCCATGGAAATCTAGTGGAGCAGTGAGAGCTGTCTCACTGCTAAATCCTGTGTGTCTTTGTGAGCCACTGGGAATAAAAGCCGCTCCCAGGCACGGGGAAGTGTTTGACTTACTGTGGTCCTCAGCCTTTTTTTGGTTGTTTTTTTCTGGATGCTGTCTGGATCCATTAAAGATGGACACATTCAGCAGTTAAAAATCAAGGGCCAGACATTTCTTACATAAAAGAAGATGATTTGCAGTCTCAGGAGGAGGATGAGGCAACAAACCAGGGTGTTCTGTTTTTCCTTCCAGAGGAATCGTCGCCAGTATTTTGGTTTTCTTGTGCTTTGGGGTGACACAAGCTAAAGATGGACCATTCTCCAGACCTCACCCAGGTAATTCACCTTGCTGGGCTCACTCACAATACTCCTGAGGAGCTGCCTGGTTTGTGAGGAAGGTAAATGTTTGTGTTGCCTGGAGAGCAGGTAAGTTGTAATTTCAGTAATCACAGGTTCCTCAGCACTGCACACTGATCATGGAGGCTCCTCCATAAAATCCTGATGGGCTTCTTCCATGGAGCCTGGAGACCTGTTTGGATCTCCCTGGTTTGGCTTCCTGTTGTTGGTAAAAAGCTCTGTGAGAACTGCCAGGTTCTTAAACCTGAACTTCTCCTGTTGATCCTCATTTTTTTTGCTGGGACTGCACTTGTGACAATGTATCTGGTGCTGGAGCACTTCCTTAGCTCCATGTCCATTTTCCACAGGAGATCAGAGGCCCTTAATTATGATTTTAAAAGTTTCTTGTAAGACTGGAAGTCTTGAAAGCACAACACAAATCTCTTCCAGGTAATGTAATACATGTGAAACATGAAAATATTTAGACAGCTTTGATCTTTTGCCTATTTTTAGATGTGAATCATTGAAAGAGAAAGAATTAAGGGAATTCATATAGGCTTAAATAATATTCCTGAAAGCATTGGGCTCTTCTACAGCCAAATCAAGCTGGGTTTATGCCAGAAATTTAACCCAGCAGCCACCCTACAACCCTCAGCCAAAGCAGGCGTGTTCCAGAGTGCTGCCCTCAGCAAACCTGGGGGTTTTATTATATTTGCTTTTCTTATTAAATAGCAGGTTTTAGTCTCTCCTTTTGTTCCAGTTCATTGTGATTCCTCCTGTAAAATCAGTTGTTCCTTTTGAGGACACCAGTGACACTTGGGTGCACCCAGGTCTTGGGGGTTTTTGTCTGGGCTGGTTTTATTCCTTAGAACAAAGCAGGGAAGTTTGGCTTTTAGTCTTGCCCTCAGTGTAGCGTTTCCCCATAACATTCTGGCATTGTTTTGAGCTTTCTGCTTTCAGATATCCTCTCCAGAGCTGCAGGGTTATTTTGGGGATTTTGGTGTTAATATGATGCTTCCCAAATTCCTGGTTCCGGAGTGTGGAGCTGTGTTAGGAGCTCCTCTGTCACTCCAGGCCCTTGGGATCATCTCTGCTGTCCCTGCCTTCCCTGCTGCTCCTGCTGTGTGTCATTAACCTACTTTTCATTAAGGCCATTAAGGAAACTGATCCCAGCCGCCACCTTAGTGGCACCTGTCCAGACTGGTGGCTTTATTTCTTATTTTGGTTGCCTTCTCAGCATTCCCAGCTTTAGCCAGGGGCTCATCCAGCTTTGCCATTTTCCTACTGATTCCACACAAGCCCCCATTTTCTCCAGTTTAATAATTTGCTACGTGGAGAGACACCAGTTGCCTCCCTGTAATTCAAAACTGTAGGATTGTCATGGAAATAAGTGGATATGACTGTTCAGGCAAGACTTTACTGACTTGCCCTGCTTTTATCCCATTTTTCTCTGGCTTTGGTTCCATCCAAACCTTCAGGCAAAGGGGGAGTACTCCTTTAGCCCACAGTACAGTGCAAGGGACAGATCTAAAACTCTGCTTTTTCATTTATTTATTGGTGGGTGAACAGCTAAATTTGGGGAGCATTTCCCTGGTAGAATTAATCCTGGATACAGTCAGCATCAGTAGCCTGATGCAAATCTTTAGGATTTGCAGATAAGAAATATTCTTCTTTTCCCTGCCAGCTCCTTTTCTGGAGCCTGGTGTTGTAGGAGCCCAGGGATGCTTTATTGCCTCTGTCAAGATAACACATCCATGCTGTCATTCCAAAGAAATTTTCCATGACAGTTATTAATACCCTGAGAAGCAGCTTTTAATATTCCCAGCCTTTGCCAGTTTGACTTGATACACAGTGTGTGACAGGACGAGCTGTTCAGGGAGTAAATTGTGAGGGTCTGGAGTAAGCTGTGGGATTGAGGGCTGGGATAGCTGGGAATGTGCAGGCAGGGACCAGGCAAGGGCTGCACTGGTGACATTGGAAGGAGCAGCTCCAGGACAAACATTTTCCTTGGGCAAACAACCCAAATTTTTGTATTTTTTACTCATTTAGGTTCTCAGGCAGAGTGGGCCAAGCTCTGAGCAGAGGTAGGGAAAGAGGCTGGTTGGATTCAGCTTTCTGGGATGTTCATGTCCTGTTCCCAAATCCCTGCAAGGCAGCAGTTTAATGTTTGATCACAGGAATCCCTGGGTTATCAGGTGTGTCAATGATTAGTGGAGACCTCCTTACTCAGGAGGAAAGCCCTGATTGGAGGGAGGCAGAATGGCAAGTGAATTAAAGGAAAACAAGTATTGGAGATGTGCCAAAAATAACCTTACAGCTAAAGGTGACCCTGACCCAGGAGGAGAGAGAACAGTGTTTGTACAGCCTTGAAAACATTTGGGGTGCAGGTACTGAGTGTATTCAGAATCTCTGGGGGACCCCTGTGAGCTGAGGAGAAATCACAGCACTAAATCTGAACCAGATCTCAATTTTTAATTATATTTTGTTTTGCTGAGCCTGCTCAGCAGCTGCCACAGCCCTGTGTACAGAAGGGAATAAAAGCTCAGACAAGGATTTAGACTTCTCTGCTTTCTATGTCTGCATCACTTTGAGGAGAAGTCTGTCACATTGCTGACTGTGAGCAGTGTAAAATCTCTGCTACGAGGTTTATGGGTTAGAAAAAACAGCATTTTATGGGTTAGAAAAAACATTCCAAGGTGGGAGAAGGGTGGTGATGAAAGGTTAATTCTCCCTTCTGGCTTGAATGTGGTGCCAGTTTGGGAAGAGGCTTCTCTCTTCCAAATAATCCTGTGAGCAATGGAGGATTCTTTTTCCTAAGATGCATTCTGGAAAGACAAACAGGTGAAAGCTGTCACAGAGCTCTGAAATACTGTTCTCCAGGCCACACATGCATTTTTTATTTTCCCTTTTTCTTTTTGATTTCCCAGAAGTGTAAAATAGGTGATTCTGATGAAATTAATTTTCCACATTCTTTTAATGATAGTGTCAGACACTGCTTTTAAAAATGTGTGAAGTTTGTTGGTATTTTTGGTTTCGATTTCTTACTGTTTATTTGTTGTTTTGGGGATTTTTTTAAAAAAGAATTTATTTCCTACATGAGGCTGAACTGGATAAAGACATATTTTGGGAGAAAATATCTCCTGAGGAGCTCCATGGGGAGTTGATTTATGGTTCTGAGCTGATAACTCTGTTTGTAAGCCTCTGTTGGTTTCATCCTTGTGTAATTTATGCCTGGCCCTGCTTTGAACATCAAAGTGCCTACATTGCCTTGGAATTAACAGAGAGAAATTCCCAAGGCAGGTCTGAGGGTCTTGGTTTCCTGGCAATCCTGTTGGGATTCCTCTCCATCACCCCCATGGGCCTGAGGAAGGAGAAGTCCATTTATAACCAGGAAACACCTGAAGGCAGGTCTCACCCCAAGAGTGGTGGGTGATGTTTTTGGAATTTCAGTATCCACCAGAACAGGTCGAGTTTTCCTGAATTCCCTTGTGTGGAATCTTTGGATTTGTGCCTGAACCCACCCTGGCTTTGCATCAGCCTCTCAGGGCAGGAAACAGAAACACTGAGAGGGTTCAGAGCCCCTCACTGCATGGAACAAGAGCCTGGCTCTGGGATGGATCAGGGGCATGGATGAGCACAAAACCCCGTCCAGGATGGCCTGTGACCCGAGGGCTGAGCCTGTCAGGAGAGCTGGCAGTGCAGACACTGTAATTTGGACACCCTTTGGATTCAAGTGTTGCTGAGGTGTGTGCAGGTCTGTAATCACACATCTAGGGAGGGCTCTGAAGCAGCTGAGCTTTGCATGGCATTTCTTCTGGAGAGTCCCAGGCGATCTCGGGCCTTGCATCCAGCACCTGCTGAACCTTTGGTCTGCTTGTTTTTAATTTCATTCCAAGTAAAAGTGAAGTTACCTTTGAGGTTTTGAATTATCTTCACACTTTCTGCCCCGTGGGGACACGACCTTGTCCTCAGGCTGAAAGCTGAGCTGCCAAACACAACTCCTGCCTGCCTTGGGTGTGCCTGCTGTATCCAAGGGTGGACAGGTCAGGTCACCTGAGAGCAGGGAGAAAGTTCAGGAAGGATCAGGTTCTCCCCCAAGGACTGCTGGAAAGCATTGCAGGTGGCACATTCCTTTCCTTCCAGTCCTTTACTGCTGAGTTTGTTGGGTTGAAGTGTTGTGGATCTGGATCTCTTCTCCCAGATCCAGGTCAGTGCCTGAGCAATTCCAGCAGCCTGTGTGGGAGTTAAAGATCTTTTCTGGTTGTGTCCCTGAGGGAGGGTGGGGAGCACTGTGCTTGGGAGCTGGGAATTATAATTCTGTGGTGGGAGCATCTCTTGAAATGGAATTGTTTTCCTGAGAAGCTGTGGCTGCTCCATCCCTGGAAGTGTTCCAGGCCAGGTTGGCATGGAGCAGCCTGGGACAGTGGGAAGTGTCCCTGCCCATGGCAGGGGGTGGAATGAAATGGGCTTTCAGATCCCTCCCAACACAAAGCATTCCAGGATTCTGTGATATTGAAATAAATGAATAATTAATGTATGGTTTGCTCCAAAGCTGCTGACATCCCCTGTGTCTCTCTGCAGCTTACTGGAGGTTTTGGCTGTGTGTCAGTGTGGTCTATGAGCTCTTCCTCATCTTCATCCTCTTCCAGGTAAGTGACTGTACAACTCCAGCTCCTAAATGCCACTTCCATGTGGAAATCAACTCCTTTGTGGTGGTTTTTTTTCCTGCTGACTGCAGGAGTTGCTAATTTTTGTGAGATGGAATCATTAGGCTGCTTAATGAGACTATGAGGCTGAGGGAAATGATAATATAAAAATATTTCACCTGCTCTGACCTCCAGTCTCCCTCAGCCCAGGACAGACACTTTTGAAGTGGTTTTAGATGAGCTGGTGTTTCACAGTCCAGTCTCTGCCCTGCTGGGCCATGTGTGACTCGGGGGGAATTCTGGTTTTACCTTTGGAAATGCCTTTTACCTGGAGTGACAGGTTCTTTGTAGGTGTGGGGGTTTTGTAAAACTTCACACCCAGTTTTGTCTGGTGGCAGGAGCTGAGGGAGAGGTTTTTCATGGAAAGATGTGCCCTTGGTGCTTCCAAATTAAACAGTTTTTACCACGTTCTTTTTTGACCATATGTTACCATATCTTGTCCTTTAGTAAACAGAGAACTTCTCCCTGACTTTTGCAATTCTCAGAAGTTAAATATTTTGAGACAATATACTCATCAGGCAGCTCTAAAAATCATTTTGCATGAGAAAAGGATGAGGAATGGTTGTTTTTTTTTTTTTCCAAGTTTTTCTTCTAGAGGCCATATGAGCTTGAAGAAGTGGGACTGGTCACTCTGGGTTTTTCCAGCCGTCCTTGAGGGTGATATTCCTGAATAGTTGCAGTCACACTGAGTAATTTTTATTGGTCGTACTGGAGTAGTTCTGAATTCCAACAGAAAAGCCTGGAATGGCTTTGCTTCCCTGTGGCAGCGTGTGGTGTCAGCAGAGATTTAGTGGTTAAGGAACTCCCTGCTGGTGCTCAGCTCTTTACTAAAAATACATCATTGCCTTGCCCAGGTTGAAATAAGGTTAAATTCTGCTGAGTCTGCAGGTGGCTGAACTTCCTGACAGCAAATCCAAGCTTGCTCGTGGCTGAGACTTGTCCCAGAGTTCATGTGACTTCAGCAGTTTATTCTGTAATTTTATTATTATTACTCTATTAATTAATTTTGGCTTTGGACATCACATCATAATGTTCCAGGGTCAAGCTTTGACCACACCACTGAGTGATTCTGTTAGTAAATAACTGCCCAGCAAATATGTGGCTGATTTAGTGATAGATGAGTTCACATTTTGGTCGTTCTGATAATTTATTATTGCTATTTGCATGGGACCTTGCTGGAAATGGGTGTTGGGAAGGATGAGCTGTGTGAAGCTTATGGGAGAGATGGGGAGCACAGAGGAGTGGTGGGGGGTAAAGGGTTAAAGACCACGGATTTTTCATCTTTAAGGTCATTCTGTAGCCATTTTTTCCCTTAATATTTAGGATTAGAGGGTCCAAGTCAGGTATGTGTGTGGGGTGCTTCAAAGCCTGGCTTTATTTCAAGAATTGTTCCGCTACAAATTTGAAAAAAGGTGGATTTGAAGATCAATGTTGGCCTTAATTCTGTTTGTGCCTTCTGTGTGTGAATCCTTCAGGGGGATCCTGGGTTTCTGTGTTCCCTTGCAGACTGTGCAGGATGGGAGGCAGTTCCTGAAGTACATTGACCCCCACTTAGGGGTTCCTCTGCCAGAGAGAGACTACGGGGGCAACTGCCTGATTTATGACCCTGGCAATGGAACTGATCCCTTCCACAACATCTGGGTAAGCAACAAAGTCACTAATGGGGCTATTTTTGGCTAAAAAGCTGCTTCATTGAACTCTTCAAAGTGCAGTTGTGAGTCTGGCTGAGTGCTGAAATCAGAGCACGGCCTGTGACTGACTCTTCAGCCTCTTTATTTCTCTTCTCTTGACCTTTCCTGTCCATCAGATGGGGGTGTGTCTCTCTCTGGATCCCAATTACCTGATTGCCCAGGGCTGAACTGTTCAACAGCTCTTCTTTCTCAGGTCACTGGTGTCAAATTTCCCCGTCAGAGTTTGGATTTCTTCCTGTGCTTGAGGAATCTCCTCAGTCACCCTGAGGCACAAAGCCCTAGAGCTGCACCACGGAATCCCAGAATGGTTTGGGTTGGAAAGATGAAATAGCCCCATTCCCTGCCATGGGCAAGGACACCTTCCACTAGTGCAGGTTGCTCCAGCAGCACTTTTCTGAGTCCTGAAAACCATCAGGTTTCTCACTGGCAGAAATTCCAGGGCAGAGGAATGATGGTTATTCACAGCTCTCTGATTGCATGGAAGCTCGGGAGGAGCACCCGAATCCTTTGGGTCTGCCCTGTAAATCTTCAGTGCATCAAAAGCTGGAATAACTGGGATCTTATTGAAGTAGAGGGAAAGGCACTGTGCCCAGGGACTGGCAGGGCTGGTAAGATCTAAGAAACTCTGCTAAATTCCTTCCTGATGAAGGAATGCAAGTATTCATGTGTGGAAAAACTAGAAGTTTATTGCTGCATTTTTCTTGGACAAAAAAAAAATAAATGGCTGTGACCTTCACTCTCTTCTTGATTTTCAGGACAAGCTGGATGGGTTTGTTCCTGCTCACTTTTTTGGGTGGTACCTGAAGGTAAGAATGGCTCATTTCAGCCTGGGGACTCTGCTCCTCTTTTCCCAAAGTCTCACTGCTGCTGCTTTTGTGGTGCCCGGCCTTGGTCACTTAAACCAGGCTGATTGTAATACATGTCAATATGTGAAAAGCCTTTTCCCCCCTTTTTTTCTGTCTCCTGCCCATGTTAGGCCACCTCATTTCTTTCCAGAGCTTTGTTGCATCAACAGGCTCCTTCCTTCCTCCACAGGGATTCATCCTGGGGTCAGATCAATAGAAAACTTAATTCCTCTAGCAACAGAAATGCTGGAATGACCTTTGCAAGTGTAGTGTGGGGCTGGCAGTGACAGTGATATTCCCAAACACAGATGTTGCTGCTGCTGCTTTCCTAAGGGCGTCAGATCAGGATTTTAGACCATTAAATGGGCAGTGGTTTAATTCTTGTTACTTTTTAGTTGGTATCAACCAACTGTGAAAGGAATTTCAGGTGTGCCTGTCTGGCAGAACATTCAGTAGTGTTTTCCTGGTTACTTTGGTCTAAATATTACCTTTTTTAACCCAAGCAGACTGACTTAAGAGATTTTTGCCCCCTGCAGACCTTGTTTGGGTTTGCTGTTTAAATAACAAACTGACAGAGCTTGGCTGCTCTAAAAACAAACTAGAACTGTTGGTTTGCATTTTCATTTCAAAGTGTAGATGTGTTCTGAGTGGTTTGGGGGATCCCTCAGAACCAGATGGGAATTTGCTGGGCATGGGGAGACCTGGACTTCAGCTTGTTCTGTTAATAAACTGAATTCTAAATTTGGAAAGCCTGGATCCTTTTCTTTCAAGAGAACTGCATTAGAAACTGAGCTGCCCAGCTGGAAGGAGACTGGCTGCTGGATTTCCTCTGGGCCATAGCATATTTTTCTCTTAAATATGTTAAATATTAACCTATTTCTCTATTAAAAGCTGGAGGTTGAATGTGTTGTCTCAATAAACAGAGATGGGCTTGTGTTTGGATTTTTTCCCCCAAATCTCCAAGCACCAGGATGGCAATACTGAGAATGAATGGGCCTCATTCATCAGAAATTATTGTGGCTTTGGAGTCGTTTAGAGCCCATAAAAGGCTCTGAAAAGCCTTTTCTGAGCACTGTTCCAATGATGCTGCCTGTGGTGGTTGAGCACCCAGTAATTCCATGCATTTAACTCATTTCCCTCCTGCTGAATCCCATTTTTCCAGAATTTATCTTAATCTGTATTCCTGTGCTGGTTTTGGCTGGGGTGGAGGTGATTTTCTTCAGTGTCATTCCTGTCTCTTGTGCTGGTGATGTTGATAAGTTGAGAGGCCTGTGAGCAGTTGGACCATCACATCATGAAAATAAAATTATCCTGAGTTTCCTAATGCTTTTCTGGAAGCTGGAGACTGTAAGATCTACTACTGTAGATGTTTTTTAGCAGCTGTTTAAAAGACTTTTTTTCTCCCTTCAGACTCTGATGATTCGGGACTGGTGGATGTGCATGATCATCAGTGTCATGTTTGAGTTCCTGGAGTACAGCCTGGAGCACCAGCTCCCAAACTTCAGTGAATGCTGGTGGGATCACGTATGTACTGCAGGGATCAGGGTTTATTTGGGAAAACAGATTTTACAGGGAGGGCTAGGAAGTGATGAGAGCTGAATTGTATCACGTGTGTGACTGCTCCCTGATAATTTGGTAACAGCTTGTCAATGTTTCTGTAATTTTATGTGTTACAAACACTTGGACATGGTTAAATATTTTCTTGGGTTCCTTTCATGCCAGAGGGAGAATCTAAAGCTGTACCTGAACGTTTTCAAATATTTGATGGTGCAAAGCAGTAAAATCTGAAATTCAGAGAAAGGCAAAACTTGGTGTGAGCCTAAAGACCCACCCTTTTAAAGTTGTGTTTTATTTTCCTGTGAGGTGTAAGTTGGAGTCAGAGTGATCAGAATTCCCTGCAGTCAGGCACTCAGCTCTGGGTCTGTGTTTGGATGGATTTTGGGAAAGACCCAATCTTGGAATGATTTCCTCCATGGTTGTATTTCCAAAAGTCAGTGCATTATCAGAGACATCAAGCCAAGCTATTTAGCCTTCAGAAAACCTGTGGAATGAGCACTCTCCCACTCCCTGGAATGCAGAGGTCTGCCTGTAGTGTTTCCCTTTCCCAAGCTCAAGTGTTCCTTCCCCAGCATCATTCCTGTGTTTCTCCTTCCAGTGGATAATGGATGTGATCTTATGTAACGGGTTAGGAATTTACTGTGGGATGAAGACTCTGTCCTGGCTTTCCTTGAAAACCTACAAGTGGCAAGGACTCTGGAACATTCCAACCTACAAGTAAGTTGGGGAGGAGGGAACTCCACAGGCACAGCACAAAGGTTGGGCACCTGTTCAAGAGCTTGGTTGTTCTGTTGGGTTTAATGTGGATTAAAGAATTCCTGGGTGTTCAGGTGACTCCAGGATCCAGTGACTTATTGCTGCAGGGAGGTTTGTTGAGGGGTTTTTTTCACCTTGTGAATGGGATGGTTGGAAATACACCTGTGTGTCCCAAACATCTCCTGGCTGGGGGTGAGGGCATCCTGTGGAATTGAGCTGATTTGATGAAATGGTTTAAGGAGGTGCAGGAATCCAAGTTGACATCCTACTCCCATTCACAGCAAGGATCTGTTTGGTGTTTTTGCATTCCCTAGTAACCAGAACTTCACAGGAACTGGGACACTGGGAATTAAAATTTAATAAATCCCATGTAGTTGTGAACCAGTAATGACCCATGGTGCTCTGTAGTGTCTTTGCTGAGCAGAGCAGAACTGCTTACAACACTGAGTGTAGTATATTAAAACTTAAATTGATAATTAAAATAACAAGCTCAGAGCTAATCTCATTAAGTTGTGATTTTAATGGAGTAAACAGAGGCATTTTGCATATCTGAACTGGTGTCTCAATTGGAAACGCTGGCAGATGCCTCTTGCCTGCTTTTCCTTCAAGCTGCAGCAGTTATTTTGCTTTTTTCCAGAGGCAAGATGAAGAGGATCGTGTTCCAGTTCACCCCATACAGCTGGGTGAAGTTTGAGTGGAAGCCAGCCTCCAGCCTGCGCAGGTGGCTCGCAGTCTGTGGCATCATCTTCGTGGTGAGGACACCTCTCTGGCCCTTCTGTGCCTCAGGATGCAGCTCTGGGGGTGTTCCTGAGGCTGAGGCCAGGAGGGTTCCCTTCCCAGTCCTGCAGAGCAGGGGGCTGGCTGTGTCTGTGACACAGGTGACAGATTCACTGCACAAAGGGTTGTCCTTGCTTCCTGACCACTCCTGCTGGCAATGGGAGCAATATAAACTGAGATCTTTGGGTTTTCAGCAGGTTGCTGCTCCCCAAAGCTCTGGTTGTGGATGAAAGTAGCTCAGATTGCTTGGTTTTATGGGGGTACAGGTCACATTACAGCTGGAAAGAGCTGCATCCAAGGCCTTGGGCTCCTCTGAGCTCAGTCCTGAAGTACAGATCTGCTTAAATCATTCAGTTCTCCTAGATTTTTCTTCTTTTTTTTTTTTTTTTTTTTTTCCATTTCACTGCACACACAGCACCTGAGTGGGTGGAATTGTTTTATGCTGTGAATGCAGCATCTGAAATTCATACCTGTGCCTGTGAAACTGAACTTGTCACCCACCTGAGACTAATAGGGAGGGTACACTGGGCAGTTTAAATGCCTTTTTCCCACTTCTTCCCCTTTCCCAGCTGGGGGACTTTGGCCTTTGTGCCCATCCATGGGATGTCACTTGGCTCTCCTCTGAGCAGCTCAGACTTATCTCAACCCAGCAGCTGTGAAATTTAACTAAATCCATCCCTGTGACACGTGTGGTGATCCAGAGGCACTGGGCAGGAACCAGGTTCAGTGGCACAGGACAGAACTCTGTGTTTTGCCAGAAAAAGCTCCCAGCACCTGATTTCCTGCTGCAGGAATTGGCCAAGCTCACGTGGCACACCAGGCCTGCTTGGTGGGAGGACTAAAAGAGTATAAATAAAATAGATGTTTCCCCAAAAGGTTGCTAGCTGCACCCTGAAGAAATTGGGGTTTGGGTGCTACTGCAACAGAGATCCCAATGAATTTATGCTGGACTGTGGGTTATGTTTCTTTTAGCACATCCCAGCTTCAGCTGACAGGTTCTAAGCACCTTCAGGTTCTGGCTCACTCCTTGGGCTTCAGCAATGCTTAATGTCCTTTGTTATCACTTCTTTTGAAGTGACAGTCTGGTGTCTCTCTGCTCCCTTAAGCACACTGCCAGGGCAGCTGCTTGAGAGAACATTTTGCTCTTAATTTATAAAATCAACTTTCCCAAGTTGGCTTGGAGGGTGAGTTTGCATAACTGAGAAAAAACAGCCCAGCCCCCCAGGATGTGCAGCTCCTGCCTCTTGTTATGATGGGGCTCCCTCAGCTGGGTTTTACAGGACAGGGAAAGGAAAAGCTGTGCTTTTGGTATTTGTCCTCAGTGTTTGTGCAGGTACTTTGAAGTTCAAAAACTTTCTTGAAATTTGTGGGTACTGCTTGTCCAGCTTTTTGTTGTGATTTTTAGTGCCTCTTCCAACGTAGAGGAAATGTTTAAAAACCCAGTTGGTTTTGGGTTGGTGCCGATGGTTCACTCTGTGATGCTGCACAGGGGGAGCCATTCAGGGAGAGAGGGGCATTCCAGGCTTCATCCAGTGGTATTTTCCAAATGTAATTCCAGTGTCCCTTCTCCCAGTTTTTATTGGCAGAGCTGAACACGTTTTACCTGAAGTTTGTGCTGTGGATGCCCCCTGAACACTACTTGGTGCTGCTACGCCTTGTGTTTTTCGTCAACGTGGGAGGAGTGGCCATGAGGGAGATCTACGACTTCATGGACGACCCGTAAGCCCCACCTCTCTGCACTTCCCATGTCGAGCTCCACGTGCTTTGTTTTGAACTTGCTCCAGCTTGCTGGCATCCATCTCGGGCACCAGTTCAGCTTGTCAGGGACAAAAAGGCCCAATCCCAAAGCATCTGCTTGGTGTTCCTTTGTTTTGGAGGTAGCACTCTCACGCCCCCTGGTCAGAGAGCAGCTGTTGTTAAGGGCATTGTGTGTGCTCTGTGTTCAGCTCAGTGGCTGGTAAATGATCTCTCTGTGGAGAAGGAAATGTGGAAATGAGCTGGAGTGCCCCTGGCTCTGGGCAGAGGAGCACTCTGCTCCTGATCCAGACTGAGAGCCAGGAACTGCAGTCCTTGTTTGTGCCCTCTGGGGATATCAGGGCCTAGACTAAAAAAATATGGTTCTTAAAGGCACTTCTTTCCTTGAGCTGTCTTCCCTTCTGGCCCTCTGCATCTCTCCTGGCATCCTCTTGCAGGTCAGAGGCCCTCAGTAGCAGGATGTGCTGCAGGTCAGGCACCACACACAGCAGTGCATGTACTTGAGACTGTTCCCACCTCAGCATCATATCTGTCCTCGCTGCTTTTGTTTCTGCAGACCATGTGAGAGCTGAGAAAGCTTTGTTCTCAAAAATCACCTTTTCTTTTAATGTCACAACCTGCCTGAGCCCACATCCTCAGCCTAAGGCACCTCCTGGCTTCCAGGGGTGTTCATTGTCTGTCGCTGACCAAAAAAGTGTCTGTGTTCAGAATTTAGGGTTCCAACATGGTCTGAAGATCAGTTTCCCTTGCAAGGCTTTGACTCCTAGAACTGGGAAGAAGGGCCAGCCCACATTGCTTAGTCGGAATTCAGGACATTCCGCAGGGGCAGGATGCCCTGGTTTGGGACGTGCCTCCAACTCACAGGTAAGAGTCTCTGCCTTGCTGCAGAGCTCCTCTCCTTAGCACCATTCATCTTCTTGTGTTGGGGTTGGAAAAGCTCCTTTGCCCTCTGTTCAGCCACATGGCATAACACTGGATTTTGGGAGAGCCATCCCTTGCCAGTGCCTCATCCCTGGTTCCAGTTGTTGCTGTTCTTTCTGTGAGCAGCTCATCCCAAGCTGCATATCCCCATCACTGCCACCACATTCCCTGCTGGGGAAGGTGACTGCCCCCACATCCTGGCGTTCCTGGCTCTTCTTGATGCCCCCCAGAGCTGACATCAGGCTGTTCCTGTAGAAGGGCAGAGCTGAGCACCTGCTCTTACCTGGTACCTTCGCTGGAGGGTTTTGTAATTCCCTCCTGCATTCCAGGCCATCCAGGCAGAGAGGATCTGCCCCCATTTACCAGCTTCACTTCCACATCATTTCAAACTAGGGATCCTTCAGGATTCTTCCCATGGTGTTGTAGGGGAAGAGCAGGGGGAAGCATGATTTGCTCCATGGTTGTATTTTAAAAAGTCAGTGTATTATTCCTGCTGGGAATGTACCAGAGGCTCCTGACTTACATCACACAGGAAACCTTGCTGACCTTTTCCTTTTTGGAAACTCTTAATGCCCAAAGATTGGAATATTCCATTGTCCTTCCTTGACAAAAATATGGCTCACTGCCTTGTCTGGTGGTGATGGGGTTGTCTGGGGTGAACTGATGAGGTCTCTTCAGTCAGCCCTGCAATGTTGGGTCTAGAAAGCACTGAAATTCCAATGTGAATTCTTTCTCCCATTCAGCATTCTGAGTATCCGTGGGCAGTTCTGGGGCTTTGCTTGCAAGACTTTAGCCTGAGCATGGTGACAATGTAGTGCCTGGAACTGTGATAGTCCCAGAAGAGGGGTGAAGCTTTCTCCAGCCCTCACACACCACATGCTGCCTCTGAGTTCCCAAGGACTGGATGTGCGAAATGTTCCTGATCGGGAGTGTCTTGATGTGCTAGTAGCATTTAACCTAGTCACACATTCCTGACTGGAATCTTCCTGTCACCTCCAAGGAGTCTGCATCAAGGCTATGAATTTTTATCTCCTTCATCACAAGAAAAATCTTTTGCATCTTTCCTGAATATTAGGGCAGGAAACCAGCTCTCTTCCTCGGCAGCCTTAGGGGCTGCCCAGCTCTTGTGTTGGGGTTATCTTTGATTCTGTTGTCAGGGGAAGGATGGCAGAGGAGGAAGCAGCCCAGCAGAGCAGAAAGCTGCCTTCATCATCCCAGCAACTGGAATTCCCTGTGAGAGATCTGCTGCTTCCTTTCATCTCTGTGTGTGGGTTAGGGCTGGTCTCTGCCCATTTAATCTGCCACTACCTGGAGCAGTTTCTGCAGCCCTTTCATCCGAGCTGATCCAGGCAGGATACCTTTTAGGAAGGAATGCACTCATCCCCTCTGCATCAGCAATCACCTACACTTGATTTATTCCATATTTTTTCCCAGTGTATTTGGATGGTTTGGTGTAGCTTGAACTACACAATGGTGTCAAATACAGCTCTGGGCCTCATGCGAGAGGAGCTCCTGTTTGGAACCATACCCTGACCATCAGCTGGTCTCAGGCTAGTCAGAGCATCATTTCCCTGGGAATGGGGACACTTCCCTGCATTGTGTGGTGGTGGAGTTTAACTTTTCTCGCTTTTAGAGCCTCTGAGATGTCATCGTGCAGAGCCTTAGTGCATGTGTGATCTGAACTAGACTTGTAGGACTGTGCAGAGCTGAGTGAAATCACTGTCCCAGCTGTCTTTTTGTGCAGATTTCTCCACATCCCTAATCTACAGCAGTGAAATGTTTTTGTCTGTGTTTCTCCTGCAGGAAGTTCCACAAGAAGCTGGGCCAGCAGGCCTGGCTGGTTGCTGCTATTACTGCCACGGAGTTCCTGATCGTCGTCAAGTACGATCCCTACACCCTCACCCTCTCCCTGCCCTTCTACATCACCCAGTGCTGGATCCTGGGGATTATCCTGGTGCTCACCTGGACAGCCTGGCGCTTCTTCATTCGGTACGTGGGGCTGCATTTGGGGCTGGCTGGGGTTTTTAGGAGGATTTGTTCAACCCCCATCCTCAAATGTGCTCCCTGGGACTGCCTGGGGAGAGAGCACAGCTCTCCTGGATGGGTGCAAGTTCTGAAATAAACAGGGAGTTCTCTGGGCCTGATCCTGGCAGTTTCCTGTCTGGATCATGGAAAGCATGAGGGGGCTAAGGAATTAGCAGCCTTCCAGTGTTGGAAGGGACCCACAAGGAAGCTGGAGAGGGACAGGACAAGGGGGAATGGCTCCGCACTGACACAGAGCAGGGTTCGATGTGGTGTGGGGAAAAATGAAGGTGCTGAGGCCCTGGCACAGGATGCCCAGAGAAGCTGTGGCTGCCCCATTCCTGGACGTGTCCAAGGCCAGGTTGGATGGAGCAGCCTGGGATAGTGGAAGGTGTCCCTGGCCATGGCAGGGGGTGGAATGGGATGGGCTTTAGGATCCCTCTCAACCCAAAACCATTCCGGGATTGTTTGAAGCACAGTGCTGTGCAGAGGGGCCAGCAGTGGCTGCTCTGGCAGAGGTGGGAAGAGCCAGGCCACCAGCCAGAAACACAACCTGTCAGTGAATCAATGCCATCAGCAATTGTAGGAACGCCCAGCCAGAGGCTCCAGTGAGTTGTTATCCCCAGGAAGCTCCGTGCAGAGAGCTCTCCTTGCCGTTCTTCCTGCAGGCTGGAATTGTGTGCTGTGTGTGTTGCAGGGACATCACCCTGCGGTACAAGGAGATCCGGCGGCAGAAGCAGGAGCACAGGCACGAGAAGGACAAATGCCTGAGCAACGGGGATGGACACTCAGCCCTGCTGGATGAACCCAACGGGAGCAAACTCCGGGAGAGGAAGCTCTGAGTGCAGACACGGGGCTGACAGGAACTCGTGGTGCACAGTCCCAACCTTATCCTACCTAACTCCTAATTGTCATTGTTAGCGTTCCAGCGTGTGGGGGAGGATGGCACTGACACAGCCCCCCTCTCTGCTGGTGTCACCTGGGCAGGGCTGGAGGAAGGCTGTGTGGAGGGAGGTCAGTGCTGACCCCGCGCACGGGCGGGGCCTTCACCTGGTGCTGTGCGTCTTCCTCGGAACCAGGTGTGGAGACGGAGGGCTCAGAGCACGGCACACAGGGATCTGCTGCTCCATTCCCAGGGAACTGAGAGCTCCGTGGGGCGTTTGGGCATTAGGAACACTTGTTTTGGAGTGTACAGAGACCAGGCACGGGAAAGGAATTGTGTTCTTCCTGCTGGAACTACCTGGAGCTGTGGAGGAGGATTGGGTGAAGTGTTCAGCGAGGTGACCGGGTACACGGGGATGTGTGACCAAGCTGCATTCCTTGCACAGGATGTACCACACCACACTGCTGTTCCAGCCCCTCTGCAGGGCATCCTACTGACTTCCAACGTCCTGGAGCGGCCTGCAGCACGTGGGTGGTGTGTCCCAGCTCTGGGCAGACAGACAACTTCTCCTTAGTCTTATTTCTAATTTCTCTTTTAGTCTCGGTCATCTCTTAAATGTAAGGGAAGGTGAAGTGAGAAAGGTCAAGCTGCCTTTGCTCTGCGGAGTAAAATGTGTCATAAACAGACACTGGGAGTGTCTCGTCAGTCTGGAGTTCTTTGCTTTATCCTCGGCTGGGTTTGTGTCCTCGCCACAGGGGTTTGCTCTGGGTCTGACAGGGGCTCTGCCACCCTCTGTCACTGCCCTGTTCCTTCCAGGATAGCTCCAGAGTGAGGGCTTTCTGGGAAAGCTGATCCTGCAGTGTCACACCCCCATCCCTGTCCCCTGTGCCAGCAGCAGGCCCAGGCCAAGCACATCCCTGGCACGGCACAGCCAGGGAGCATCCTGAGCCAGGCACTGTGTCTGCTGGTGACTCAGCATCCCGGAAAGGGAGCTGGAAGCCTGGGCTGCTCTGTTTCCCCAGGTCATTATTCCAAATGTGAGAGCTCCACTAATCCCCATGGATTCTGAACCCTCTGCTCCGAGCCCTCACGTCACTGTCCCAGGCACTGACGTCACCCTGTCACTGCTTAATCCAATCTGGCTGTTCCTCAGGGAAGTGTTTATCCAGAAGAAAATGACACAAACACTACAGTACAATTCCAAGAGTGCGACCCCAAACTTTTGAAGTGTCAGGAGCTCGCAGAGCTGCTGCCCAGCACACATCTGGGTTTTTAATCCAGTTCGATCTTACACAGGAGTGATGGCCAACATCCCCAGCTTTAGTGTCTCAAATACTTTCCACCTGTAAAAGGTGGGCAATCTGGAAGTTGGGAATCCCCAGTTGGGGAGGTGGCCAGGTGACCAGGGGTGCACCCCCTTTCCACCAAAGGGCCACATACCTGTGCTGGCAACACCTGGTGAGGAATATCCAGAAAGATCCAGGAGCTTTGACCTCATCCATGAACCACTGACTCACCTGTGTGCATCCAAGGGATCCCAGGGATAATCTGGATCCTGTCCACGTAGTTCTATGTGCTAGTTTGTCCTTTGGGACATCTGCCTGTGGTTCCTGTCTTGTCATTTCACACACAGTGGGCTGAGGGGGTTTGGGCTGTGTCCCCTCCAGGACACAGGATGGGTGGATGGATGCTGGGCCTTGAGGTAAGGAATGTGTCCAGGTTTTCAGGGAAAAAGATGGGCTCTGGTCATGGCAAACTCGCCTGGATTTAGGAATCCTTTTGTGATCGTCTCAGAGCAGTGCTCAAAGCAGCCTCAGGGAGGAGATGGAAGGAGGCCAAAAGTCCTCATGGGAATAACATTTGGCATGGCCTAGAATGGGACCCTCCCTGTGGAGAGGGCAGAGGTGGCTGGCTGCCACACACAGGAGTGTCCAGCTCACCTGGAACAGGTCTCCCACCTGTGGTCACACCCATTTCATGGAGAGCTTGGCCAAAGGTAAGTTGGCTTTAAAAAGGAGGGAGTTTTAATCGGTGAGCCTCTGTGTGAGGCTGCCCAGCTTGGAGATTTCCAAACCTCAGCCTGATCCAGTCCCGTCTGGAACAGCTCTGGGGGTCACTTTTGCCCAGAGTCTGGAGTGGTGAGCCCTGAGGTGCCCTGCAGGAAGGTGCTGGGTCCCAGGCTGTCCTGTAGAGGGACATCCTGCCACATCCCTGGGGATGCAGAGAAGCTTCGGGAAGTGGGGAAGGACCATGGCCTGCTCTTTTCCAGCTGCACCCAGAGGAGGAGCCAGGAAGCCTCATGGAAAGTTCTCCCACCCAGGCAGCGTTTTTGGCACAGTCAAAACTTGATGTGTTTTCTCCCTGAAAATGAACTTTACCAGGAAGAGCATGGGAGCATCTCCCAGTGCTGCCCTCCCTGGATCTTTCCAGAGCAGGGAGCTTGCAGCTAGCATAGAGTGTCCCTGTGGCTGAATGTGGTGTTCCTGGGAATTTCAGGTCCTCTGGAATGTCACACTGCTCCCTGGCCTCTGACCTCACCTTTTCTCAGGTTGTGTGGGTATTTTTTTCCCCACAAAATTGCAATTATTCCATTTTTTCCAAGCAAAGTTTTTCTCCTGCTGTCTGAAATTTCCCCTTGCTGCCCAGGAAGTTGCCTGACATTAAAATGAGGTGGCTGAAGCCGTGGATCAGAAGGCAGGGAAAGGGAAGGTCCCACAGGAGGGTGTGAAGACAGTCTTTGCAATGATCATGGTGTAGTGGGTATGGAGCCAAACTGTCCCAGAGGCTTTAGGTTCCAGATCCCAAAAAGTTCCACTTTCTGCTGCAGAGGGAGAAGATCTGATGGTTTTTCTTAGGAACATCCAAAGCCAAGACCTTGCTGGACAGCCCCAGGTGTCCCTGTGGCCAGGAGGGACACACAGCTGGAAGCTGTTTGGGACAAGGGAGAACCCAAGGATTCGGCTTTGGAATGGTGATCCAGAGACCCCAAGAGGCTCTGCACCCTTTGAGAGACAAGGGGAGGGGACCTGGGACCCCGTGGAGGGAAGCACTCATCGGGGTCTGTGGGGAGGAGCAGCTGGAGATGCAGAGATGCGGTGGGATGGACCAGGGAGTCCTTGGGAAGTGGGATTTGGGGAAGCGCACAGCAGAGGGTCTGTGGTGTGGGATGAGGGATCTCGCATTGTCCCTCCTGACTGGGATTTGGGGTGAGTTTGCAGGGGTTTGTTGGTGGGGTTTTTTTGTTTGCTTGTTTGGTTTTTTTTTGGTTTTTTTTGTTTTTTTATGGCAAGTTCCTCAGGAAAGCTGGGAGCTTGGCAGGCAAATCAAAGTGACAGACCCGCGGGGTCCCCAGGCTCTGCCGGGGGGGTTCGGGCTGGGCTGAGCCGAGCCCCGGGGAGGGTCTGGCGAGCGCAGAGACCGCCCAGCTCATGGCACGGGTGAGCGGCGGCTCCGCCCCGGGCTGGGCTGGGCGAGGGAGCGGAGCCGCTCCCGGTCCCGCAGCTCCGGGAAGCATCCCGGCTCTGGGGGGAGCATCCCGCATCCCGGGGCTGGGCTCTGCACCCGCAGGGACCCCCGGGCAGCGGCGGGGGGCTCTGCCGGGGTTGGGGAGCATCCCGGGCTTGGGGAGACCCGTGGGTCCCGGCGCTGAGCTCGGGGACCCCCGGGGGGCTCTGCCCGGTCCCCATCGCCGGCCGGGCGGGCCCCGGGGGTCGCAGGGTCCCCCCTCCCCCGTGGGAGCGGACACAGCTCGGCGGATGCCGGGGCCGCCCGGGGGTCCCCGCAGATCCCTGAGGATTTGTAGCTGTCCAGGTAAAGCGCGGGGGGCACCGGTTTGGGTGGGATGTGAGGGCGATGGGTGAGAGCAGAGCCTAAATCCTTCTGTTTTGGCAAGTTTGGGATGCGCTTTTATTCGTGCCAGGAGCAAACTCCGTCCCGGTTCCGTGTCCTGCGGATGGAGGCCAGGCAGGGCTGGAAGGGGCAGAGCAGCGCTGCGGGACCGGCACCACCGCTGAGCTGAGTTTAGCCCGGGCTCAGCACACGGGGCCATGTCTGGGGCAGGACAGGGAGGGAGGATGAGCAGAAAGATCGCTGGAACCTGGACTGGGATGTTTGGGGACTGCAGTGTGCTCAGGGGAGTCATAGCCAGGTTGGTCCAGGCGCTTTGGGATCAGCAATTGGGGTTGCTGTGCCTGTGGCCTTGGCAGCGGCGAGGTGACAACCCCATGAAGGCTGGGAGACCCCTTTTTCCAGGGGGGACAGGTGGCTTTGATGCTGTTTTTCTCTCCCTCGTCGAGCTGTTTTATTGTCCCTCCAAGCAGGAAAAGGGACCTGAGCTCTGCAGCAGCTCCCAAGGAAAATGAAGCTGCCCTGGCCCTGGCATTGGGGTGTTGGGATGGATGGAGAGGGCTCTGCACCCTAAACCTGGGACTCTTCACCCCTTTCTGGGTCTCTACACCCCAAACCAGGACTCTGCACCTGATCTTGAGGCCTGTGGGTGAAAAATCCATCAATCCCTGTGCTGCCAGCAGTGAGAGAGCTGTGCCCCTTCCCTTCCCAATGCCTCAGGCTTGATTTCCCAGGAATTTGAGCAGCAGGTCAGGGGGATGTCAGAGCAGCTCCTTGCAATGCTCCAGGGAAAAGCTTAGTTAACAGAAAAAAAAGCCATAAATCCTTCCCTGAGCACCTCCACCCCCGTTTCCTCGCTCAGGAGAGATTGATGCTGTTTTCCTAATAGGAAAATACCTCTGGGTTTCATCCTAGTGCTGAGCACTGCAGTCTCTTTCCAGGTGATGCCTTGGAAATCTGCTTAACTTGCTGCTTAGAGAGCATTAGAGAGAGAGGTTTTGGGGACAGAAGCTCTGAAAGAAAAATTAGAAATTCCTTCTAATTTCCAGAAGAAATTGGGAAGAGATAGAAGGGGTTTAAAGGGGATGTTTGTCCTCCTACAGGAAAAGTCAGTCCTGAAAACTCTGCTATTTTTGTATTAAAAATAATTGGGAAGCAGGGAGAGGATCAGAGGGCCTTGCTTTGGCACAGGGGCTTTTCAGGGCATAAAAAGAGGCAGTTTAGGGTAAATCTCCATCATGTTGCTCTGTTAAGATGTCAGTTTTCAGCACTAGCCAGCAAAGTGGGCCTTGAGCTGAGCTCAGCCCATAACATGAGCTCAGCATGTTCTCAGCCAGGGGAGGACTGGTTTATCCATTGCACGGGGAGATCTGTGCCAGAGGAAGGAGGATGGGGAGGGACTGGGCATCTCCCACCCCATCCCAGCATCCCTGTCACTTTGGGTTACATTTAGGGTTCCCCTTCCTCCTGCTATCCCAAGGATGTTCCCTGCAGAGGGGCCAGGCCAGCACTGCTGATATTCCATGCCATGAAATTCCCACTCTTGCCTGTTACAATCCAAGCCTGGGTGGTTCTGGGGGGAGTTGATCATCCAACCTCGACTGCCTGAGGCTGTGAGCACCCAAGGGGAGCTGGAAGGTGAAGCCCAAATATTGCAGAACCATCTGTCCAAGGCCAATCCAGCTCTGGGAATTCTGGAGAAGGGCTGGGGGGCTCTAAGGGAGGTGTGGGGGGGTTTAGGTGCAGTGCTGAGGTTGTGTCTCCGTGGGGTTCTGTGGGATGCCACCAGCTCTCCATGGTCTGTGACTCCCTGCCATGGATGCCAGGGAACAGGGGGTGCTGGTGAGTTCCCACTGGATTTGCTTGTTGGGTGTTTTTGGGGATCCCAAAGCCCCCTTTTCATAGCAGCAGCAGCTGGCTTGGTTAAATCCCCCTCAGCATCCGTGCTGCCTGGGATCTGCCTGGGAGAGCAGCTTCCTTTTGACTTAAAACCTTTTTGGGGGGGAAGGCAACGGAGCTTTCCTGCTACAGGAGCTGATTCCTGGGGAACAACTCCCCCTAAACCCCACAGTGACCCCAAAATAGGGGAATGGGGCTGGCCCCCTCGGCTGGGGCCAGGGCAAAGCCTCAGGAGAGGCTGGGAAGGCAAAGGAAGATTTCAGCTGGAAAGCAGCAAAAGGCTTTGAGGGCTCCTGGAGGGGGGATGTCCACACACAGAGATGCTGGGAATGTCGCCTGTTTAAAGGCTCCCGAGGTAAATCGAGCGGCTCTGCCCCTTCCCGAGGGTTCCTGTCCCTCCTTCAGCTCCTGCCTGGTGGCTGAGAGGCTTCAGCGTTTGCTCAGCTCCTGGAAGAGGAGCCAAGGCCGGGAGAGATGGAGGGGGAGCAGTGATGGAGCATCCCTGCTGGAAAATCACAAGGCATTCAATTGTTGAGTTCTTCCCCCTCATCCTAACGCTGTGTCTCGTGCATTCCAGGCCGTCCCGCTCGCAGGGAGCGTTTGCCATGGACACTGGGCACGTAAGCAGATCCCGCTTCAGTGGTGAGTCCTCCCCAGGGAGCCCGGGGAGGGTTTGGGGCAGAGCTGCTGGTGCTCACACCGAGGTTCTTTTGGGGAAGGGTTGGCTGCTCCTCACTGCTTTCCATGGGGAGAACCCTCTGTTCCATGTGATCGCTGGATTTTGTTTCTTAAAACAAGGGTAAAACCCTTAAAACCTCCCAAGTTTTCCAACATGAGTGCTCAGCCCTTGGAAACGGGCAGGAATGAGGGGGAAGCAGGTTCCAGTTCAGCTGGGATTTGCACTCGGAGTTCCTCAGAGGTAGGAGCCAGTAAAAGATTTTAAATTTTATTCCAAATTTTTATGCCCCTCCACCATAGCAGGAGCCTGGGAGCTCTGGCACAGGAAACCTCCGACAACTTCCCACAGCATCCTTAGCCGGGATGCAAGGATAAGGCAGAGCCCTTTAGGGCTGTGGGTCGGGGTGGATGAGGCAGGACCCGGGTCCCATCCCGATGTTTAACCTGTGGGCTGCTCCCGGGATCCAACGCGGGTGCTTTGGCTGCGAATACTCAGTTCCTTCTGGCGGAGGGCTGGGGGAGCAGCAGGTTGTCCCTGTTGTCCCCGCGCTCGGATGCGATGTGGGAGTTCAGCCTGGCTTTGGGCTTTTTCCGGCTCCGAAGGAGGGAGCGCTGCGGCGTGATGATGCCCGATGATCCCCGGCAGCGCTCCGGGATCAGAAATCCTCCGATTGCCCCTTTTGCGGTGCCGCACGGGGCTCTTGGTGCCGGTTCGGTGCGGGAGTGATGGAGGCTGGTGCAATGCAGCAGGAACCGAGCCGAGCGCTCCCTCCCCGCTCGCTCCGGCGGCACCCGCGGGGCTGTTTCCAACAGCTTTTCCTTTGGTTTTTCCCTACTCCCGGCTTTTCCTGGCATCCCCAGGCGGCAGCTGGGCCGAGGGCGATGCAGATGTGCTCTGAGCACATCTGTCAGCGGGACAGAGCCGCAGCTGGCAAAGGCACCCGCGGCAGCTCGGGAGTGACACAGGGAAGCGGGGCTGGGACACGGGAGAACTTCATCTCGCGGGAAAGCCAAGCCGGGGCTGTCATTTTTTTTTGGCTGGCAGAGCCTCTGCCTGACCCGTTCTCAGACCCCCCGGGTGGGAGCTGTGGTTTATCCCCCCCCTCCCATCCCATCCCATCCTCGGAGCTTGGAGCCGTGGAAGCAGCCGAGGCTGAAGGCTCATTCCCGGGATTGTGAGCAGCTCATGGATCCCCGTGTCCCCTGCAGTGGCCTCCAGCCCGCCGCGGTGGGAGATCGGGCTCTACGCCGCCGGAGCCTTGGCGCTGCTGGGAATCGCAGCCATCAACCTGTGGAAGCTCTGGCGCTCCGGGAGCTACCCGGCCCCTTCCCCCTTCCCCAATTATGACTACCGGTACCTGGAGCAGAAGTACGGAGCGGCGTGCCCGGACATCAGGAGCAAGGTAAGGGGGCAAGGAAGCTGCGTTTGTCTCTTTCCCTCTGCAGCACGCGGGATGCTGGAGGGGTGGGAATATCTCCGGGATCCCCTCGTGGTGGGGGGAACACAGCCACAGGCAGCAACCTGGTGCTGTCCGAGCTTTTGGGAACTGCGGGAAGCTCCGGGCTCGCTGCCGCGGCAGCTTGAGGCCAGGCAGGAGCCGGGATGCATCCAAGGAGGCGGCGGAGAAGCCCAGCTGTCCGGCTCCGCTCGGAGGGATGGGTGGGATGGATAGGATGGATGGCAGAGCCTGCTTTCCTTTCCCTGGCAGCGAGGGCTGGCCCCGGGCTCGCAGCGGGCGCCAGGTCGGAGCTCTTCGTCCCGCAAGAGCAGCCTGAGAGCAGAGGACACCTTGGAGAGCATCCAGGAGCTGGGCAGCCTGGAGCTGATGGGCAGAGACCTGGGCCTGGCCCACTACGGCCCCCTGAAGAAATCCATCTCGGCCGACTCCCTCAACTCCATCTCGTCCATCGGGAACAACTTCGGGCAGGATTTCACGGTGGGGCAGGTGGAGGTGTCCATGGAGTACGACGGGAGGGCGGCCGCCCTGCACGTGACGCTGCTGCAGGGCAAGGACCTGCTGGAGAAGGAGGACGCGCGCTTCGAGTCCTGCTTCATGCGGATCAGCCTCCTCCCGGCCGAGCAGATCGTCGGCATCTCCCGGGTGAGCCCCTCGTTCCCACCCAGACCCCCCCACGGACCCCTCTGCACATGTGGATGAATGTGGGGTTTTGGGGGGCAGCGTCCCTTGGCCGCATTCCCCAAGGCAGTGGTGGGGTTTGGGAGCAGGGAGCTCCAGGCAGGCCAGGATCAGAAATGGTTGGCAGAGGATTTGGGGGATATCAGCTCCCCAGGGCAGTGGTGGGGTTTGGGAGCGTGGAGTCCAAGGCTGGATGGGGTTGACATGGGATTTTGGGGTGGGTCTCTGCTCCCCACAGCAGTGATGGGATTTGGGAACAGAGAGCTCTGCATTGACACAGGATTTTGAGGGGTGTCCCAGGTGGGTTTGCACATCAGAAACCTGGCAGAGGCAGGAATGTCTCCCCTTGGCTGGGATTTGGGCTGACTTTGTCATCTCTGACCATGGCTGGTGGCAAAGTTGTCCTGCTTGCCTGTCCCTGCTGTTGAAAGGACGCTGTGGCACGTGGAGGAAGTGGCCTGGGGTGGGATTTGGGTGGCAATGGCAGTTTTGGGCAGGTACTGCTGGTGTCTTGCCATGGCCCCACAGTCCCCCAAGCCCCCAAAATCCTTCTCCTTCCCAATGCTTTTCCCTCCCCACAAAGGACATGGCAGTGGAAAATCCATGTGGCAGCACTGACAGCCACAACCAGGGTTGGATCTGGGGCAAAACCTCCCTTTTTAAGTGTCTCCAAAGCTGCTTTTGGAAAGCAGGAGCCTCAGTTTTCTCCCAGCATCTCCTTTATTACAGAGTCAGTTTGATTTAATCAGGATATTCCAGCAAGGAATGGGAATTTGCATCCCATTGAGGCACCTCTCCACTGGGGTGGAGGTGCTGCTCCATCCACACAAACTGACTTCTGCCTCCTAAATATTTCCACAGTGCCCTTTTAGAACCATTTTTCCATCCAAATCTCTGACTCTTTATTTATGCTCTGGAGATATTTATTATTTAGTGTCATTATTTATAATTCACTAGCACAATTTAGCTCCTTGGCTGCCCCAAGGCCACGGATAAAGGCCCAGCTGCTTTTTTTTTTCCTCAGTGCTTCTGGAGGGATTTTAAATAGCAGCTCCTGTTTGGTTGTACTTGATCCAGAACTCCTAAAATACAGCGTAGGCTGCAGACAGACAGTCTGTAAAATCTGTAGGGCTTTAAAATCTCTTCTTCATGCAGAGGAACTTCAATCCCCTGGGGGCTCTGGAGGTTTGTGGTATCCAGTAGGAGAGCAGGAATGGCAGGTGCTGCCTTTGTGCCCTTCATCCCAGGGATGGAGCAGGATTAGGAGCAGACTGAGACAAGAGAGAGTCCTGGGGGAGATGAATCCTCTCCCTGGGGGCTTTTGGGGTGACACAGTCCCACAAAGGAGTCCCTTCTTCTCACAGATTTGGGTGGCTTTGGGGAGCTGGTGGATCCGCTTTGCTCCACACTATCCAAGGCTTCCATCCCATGGGACAAACCCCTGGTTTGCCTGTGACATCTTGGATGCTGAAACAGGACTGGAGTAGGGGGAAAAAAAATCCCTAAATCCATGATTTCAGAGCATTTCCCCTCAGCCAGTTCTTTGGGATTAGCACCCTCAGGATGAGCCACGGGAGCTGCTGCTGCTGCCTCTGCTCCCAGGGAATGATGTGACACAGGGACAACGTCAGCCAAACAGCACCATTCCCACTGGGCACATTCAGGAGCTGGCTTTGCTTGGAGAAGGGCTGAGGGTTGCACCTTGTAACCATAAATCCTGTTCCTGATATAGCCAAGCTGGATGTCCATCCACACTCCCAGGAGCTTGGGATGTGTCTGAGAGCACTGGCCCAAGGCTGATTCTGTAATTAAAAGAATTAACAGGACTGGGGCAGCTCACAGCCCCGATTTTCACCCCAAAGGCTGAGCAGTTGCTGTGGTCATGTCGGGAATAAACCATCCCGGTGGGATGGGGCGTGCCCCCCCTGCATCCTCGCCATTCCCACGAGATGGGGCGGAGCAGGGATGCTGCCCCGCGGGTTCCAGGGCTATCCTCCTTTCCCGGGGCAGATCCAGAGGAGCGCCTACTCGGTGGCGTTTGACGAGCGCTTCTCGGTGCCGCTGGATCCGGCGGCGCTGGAGGAGAACAGCCTGCGCTTCTCCGTCTTCGGCATCGACGAGGACGAGCGCAGCGTCAGCACCGGCGTGGCCGAGCTCAAACTCTCCGACCTGGACCTGGCCACGCGTCCCTTCAATGCCTGGCTCTACCTGCAGGACACCAACAAGGTGAGACAGGAGTGTCCCGTCTCCCAGCTGCGACAGCGGGATGTTTTTGTGTCCTCAGGGTTTTGGTATTCTGGAGAAGTATTTAGGGAATTTTGCTCTTTTCTTGGGATGTTGAGGAAAATGGGGAGGAGAAAGGAAACAGCAGTAAAAGATATAGGAAAAAGAAAAGAGTTCTGTAGGAAATTCAAGGGGGGGTGGTTTAGTGGCAAAGCAAGGGGTTTCACTTTGAAGACTGAGTGCTCTGTTTTACACTTGTAAGAGCTGATGAAACACACTCCATTACTCCAGTACTGATTAGTGAACTTATACATTAAAAGAGTGAATTTACAAGCAATTTTCAATTATTTATCATGTTCACAGCTGATACCTAAGTGTGCACCTACAACTACTTGCAGACAATATGTTTTATAGTAACTTGGGGAGAGAGAGCAGAATTTATAACGATTTATATGTAAGACTGGGAAAGAGTGGCCTGAGAGCTGCTCAGCAGAAACTTGTGGTGCTGGTGAACAGCAAGATATGAACAAAGAGTTGTGTCCCACAGGCTGTGGACACGGTGGGGGAGATCCTGCTCTCCCTGAGTTACCTGCCCACGGCTGAGCGGCTCACGGTGGTGGTGGTCAAAGCCAAGAACCTCGTGTGGAGCAATGGGAAGGTGACTGCAGGTGAGGGAGGCTCCCTGGTGGGGTTTGTCCTGGTTTTTTTTCCATTTGCTACACGGGAGTGGATCCCTGTGAGGACAGAAAGGGTCCCTCCTCTTTCTCCACATTGCTGGGACAGGTGTGACTGATCCCTTGACTGATCCCCCCGAGCAGATCCCTTCGTCAAGGTGTACCTGCTGCAGGATGGGAGGAAGATCAGCAAGAAGAAGACAGCAGTGAAGAGGGGAGACACCAACCCCGTGTTCAATGAGGCCATGATCTTCTCTGTGCCAGCCATCGTGCTCCAGGTCTGGGAGAGCCGGGAATGGGGAGCACATCCCAGTGGGGAGCTCCTGGGGGTGGATGTGGGGTTCTGGTGGGGTTGTGGTGTGTGAGCGTGATTTGGGGTGGATCTGTGGGGGCTCTTGTGGGGTATACGGACGCGTGGGGGCTGTTTGGGGAGGTGTGGATGTGTGGAAATGGCTGCTGGAGGGGGGATGTGTGTGGAGGACTCTTGGGGAGGATGTGGATGTATGGGTTGGGATACAGCAGGGTGCACAGGGATGGTTTGGTAGGTAGACAGGGACAAAGATGGATTTCGGGGATGTGTAAGTGTGGGGGGTGTACGAGGGTGGGTATACGGGGATTTTGGGGTGGGTTTGAACAGGGTGGGGCACAGAGAGCCGTGTGTATGTGGGGTACGGCAGGTTGGGTGGCGATGCACGGATGTGTTGGCACCGTGGGTGCCCATCCCCGTGGAAGGGCACTCTGGGTGGGTCTGTGTGTGGTGACAGCCCCGTGGCCCCCAGGAGCTGTCCCTGCGTGTGACGGTGGCCGAGAGCGGCGAGGAGGGGCGCGGTGACAACACGGGCCATGTGCTGATCGGGCCGGCGGCCAGCGGCATGGGCACCACGCACTGGAACCAGATGCTGGCCACGCTCCGCAAGCCCGTCTCCATGTGGCACCCGCTCCGCAGGAATTAGGCTGGATCTGGGGACAGCGGGCCCGGAGAAGGGACTTGGTGACACCCACAAGGCTGAGCTGGCGGTGCTGAGGGACCCAAAATATCCGGAGCATGGACGGAGCGGCTCCGTGGGCACGTTCCGGGTCGCTCCTGCCCAGAAAAGGAGCCCAAAATGGACCAAAAGCAGCGGGAACCTCCCCGAACCGCGGCTCCCAACGGCCTCGGAACCCATGGAATCCTCAAACGTAGACTCTGAGCAAGGGAGAGGGGAGGATTCCTTTGGAAGGTGGTTTTTGGGTGGGAATTGTGTAGGGGGTGATCCTGAGGGGATCTTTTGTAGTGACTTTGGTGTGCTGTGCCAGAGTTGGAATGTTTCCAGTGGGAATGGAAAAAGGGAGCAATAACAGCAGGAAATCAATTGTTACAGACGGCTGCTCCTCCCATCTGTTCCCCCACACACTAAATCCCTGCCCATCTCCACTGGCTGCACAGGCACGGATTGGTTTCCAGCCACTTGGGTTTGAGGTCAGATCCACACATTCAGTAGGATCAGGGGTAGCTTTTCCCACCCCAGCCACTTTTCCAGCCCAACCTTACCCTCAAAATGCTCAGGACAGCACCACAAATTCCTGCTCCTTCACACAACTCTCACAACTGGGGACTGCTTTTTCCAGCCCCTAATCCTGGACTTGGGCTATGACTTACCCTATAACTCAATTTTAGCCAAGATTTGGCCTTGTGACCCAAGGCAGGTGGGGCTCTAGCCCAAGCCAGGTTTGGGGTTTTTGGGGAGCTAATTCCCATTCTGGTTTGTGGAGAGTTGTGGAGCCCCTCATGGCACAAGCTGGAGAGCAGAGGATGCACTGGGGCCACGTCCCTCTCCTTGACTGCAGCCTTGGATTTTCCCTGCCAGCAGGATGCTGGTGGGAAGCCAGGCTGGGAAATCTGGGGGTGTCTGGGGCCCTGTGCCATGAAATTGGCACCACGGGATGAGCACAGGCTGGGATGTGGCTGCTGGGATGATCTGAGCAGGGAAAAAAGTGTGAATGAGCCATTTATCTGTTCTTCCCTGATTAAAAAGTAACTCCAAGGTGAGTTCTCCCCTGAGCTGGTGAGCTGGTGGCACTTTTCCCTTCCCATCTGTCCTGCCTGATCCCTTCCCTTTGGGACATGGCTGGGATGTCCCTGTTCCATCATCCCCCTCTGCTCCAGCTCCTCCTGCCCCTCTCCACTCATTGATGCCCAGATTCCCTTCTCCCACACATCCTCAGCCAGGGATAGAAGGGTTTGAAGGGTGAGGTTTTCTGAAGGAGGAGGAAGTTTTTGTGGGAAGTTGTTCACAGCCAGTACTCACAGACCACGAGGTTTGGGGGAAAATTTGCTTATTAGCTATCCCAGCCAAATATTTGGGAAGAGATGGACACAGAAATCCTTGGCTGTCTGGCAGCTCCTGCCAACTGCTGAGCTTTACCTGGGATGAGGTGAGCAACTTCCAGAGGTGCTGGGTTCTGTGAGGTTTAGCCCCAGAATAAGAAATGTGTGGTTAGGCATTTTTACAGTGCTCCTCTCCAGCCATTCCCATTTGGAGACACTTCAGCACCTCTTCTTTCATCCTTGGGACAAAAAATGCTGCTGGAGCTGTTTTGGGGGTGGGATGGATGGACCCTGTGTGAAGGATTGGGAAAAGGTCCAGGATGGACTTAAGGCTCCCTCCCACCTGAAAAGCTCACATGGCTGTACTTGCTGTCACTATGGGCTTTCCCAGTGGGAATCAGCCTCCAAGGAGCTCTGTGGGAAGGGCAGGACAGGTCTGGGAAGCATCAGGGAAGGGACAGGCAGCAGTGAGGAGGGTGGGACCTCCCAGTGGCACAGAAAGGCTCTCCCAGGGAAATGGTTCCATGTACCAGCACGGTTTGGGCTTGAGGCTTCCCCATTCCTATTCCCATCCTCGGGCACACCTGGAGCAGGGCTGAGCCCCCTCCTGAACCCCTGGCCCAGGTGGGGAGGGAATGGCTGCAGTGTGGACAGGCTGGGTCCCAAGTGGTGCTGGAGGATTGCTGGGCTGGGACACATCCATTTCCTCAGTCATCCTCCCCAGAACACAGCGTCACCCGGGGTTTTTGGTGCCTCCCACGTTCCTGCTCCCAGGCATCCATCATTTGCTGCAGGGACCGATGTGACAGTGACATCGACAGCTTTGGGTGTTTAATGCCCATTTCACCAGCGTGCTCTGGCCCCTGAGTGCATCCATCACTGTGTCATAGGGATAACCAGGACAATACAGCAGCTCTCCCTCCCCTGCCTCAGCCATCCAGCTCAGGAAGGCTCCCAGCTCCAGGTTTTTCCCCCAAAATGGAGCCCCCTATTCCACCCAGGCCCAGCACTGCAGCTTTGCCCTGCGTGAGGGGGGCTGAGCTGCAGCTTTGAGGTTAAAAAAGCAGGATTCAGATCCCTCATTTGTCCTTGTCTTTCTTTTTGCCTTTCCTCTGGTTTGTCAGCTCACTGAGCTTCTTGTCCAGGCGCCGCTGGAGCTGGGCTCGCTTGGTGGGATCCAGGGATTTGTCCTTGGAGCCACTCCCAGGGTACAGGATCCCTTCCCGGCTGATCCGCTGCCGTGCCTGGGCCTTGGCCTTCTCCCCACAGCCATGCACCTGGGAGAGAACAAATACCAGGAAATAGGGCAGGGATCACCCATGGGGGAACCAGGGGCTTGCACTCCCTGAGCCTGCAATTCCTTTTTTGCCTATTTTGCATCCCCCCGAAATAATCTCCCGTCATTTACAGCCATTATTATCATTACATTACATATTATTATACTATTGTGTTGTTATATTGCTTTATATACTTATTTTTTATAATTTAAATTAATTATTTTATTATTTATCATTGTTTACTATTTATTCTATTTATTTTAATTTCATTTTCTATTTAGATTCTACACTTTTATAGATTTATTCTTACATTTATTGTTTAAAATTAGTAATTAGTATTTATTATTCTATGTATTTTATTAAACCATCATTTATAGCTCCTCTCACACAGAATGAAATATAAAGATCCAGGTCCTGGGCTCTCAACAGCAGGTAAATCATCCTTTGGGATGGTTCAAGTGGCTCCTTCCACCTCCCCTCCAGTGAACTGGGAAAAGTGTTTTGGGGAATAGGAGACCTTTTTTAGCCATGAATCTGCTGCTTTAATGAGCCAAGTCAAACACTGGAATTATCTCACAGGTGAGATCCTAAAATCTGATCCCTTTTCTTGGCCCATTCCAAAGTCATTTATGTTTCCATGGAATGGGGTCCCAGCCTGTTCCCTCAGAGCTGTGACAGCCCTTCCCGGGGCTGACACGGATTTAAATCCCTGCAATTGTTGGAGCCTCGTTACAATTCAGCAGGGAGAGGCCATTCTGCAGGGAATCAATCTCCATCCCCCTGGATGGTGAGTGACCATAAATACAACGATTCCTTGCCATGGAAACAGATAGCTCTTGACAGAGGGAAAAGCTTGCCAAGGATTTATAGGGATGCTCAGCTCCGGGAGGTTCCACAGGGCACAGAAGCTGCAGGATGAAGAACAAGGACACAGGGAATTCTGAACTGCTGGGAAGGCAGCACTGCACCATGCCTGACCTGTCCCCAGGATGCAGAGACAATCTGCAAAGGGCTGGGATCATCCTCAGAATGCAGAGGGGATGTGCAAAGAGCTGGGAATTGAGTCCAGGCTTGCTTGAGCGTGAAACTCGTCCTCAGTTTCTGCTCCCTGCCTCACTTTATCCACACAGCCTCAGAGTGTAAGTGCCAGAAAATGGTAAAGAAGGGGACAAAATGAGAGGAAAATAGAAAAGCCCTCAGGAAGAGGGGAGCAGATCCCAGGTGTCAGCACCTGCCAGCCCTGTGTACCTGAGCTCAGCACAGGCTCTGACAGGGAGGGCTCTGCTCAAACTCCCTGCAAGGAAACCCTACAAGGGAGCTCCACAGGGAAAATTCCCAGGCTAAGCCCGTCCTGCCCCTCCTTACCTCGGGGATGTGGTGGCTGAGGCAGAAGAGCCTCTGGCAGTGGTGGCAGAGCTGGCCCAGGGTGGTGACAGAGGCCTTGCAGCGGGGGAAGCCACAGGTCCTGTCAGCCTCGATGGCAGCAGAGATCAGAGCATCGAAATCCTCTCCAGCCACGCTCCCGATCGCAGTTTTTCCTGGGAAAGGTGAGCAGCACACACCTGGATTGGGGCCTGGGAATGAACCTACCCTCCTGCAGCCACAGGCAGTGTGGGCCAGGAACTCCCCTCAGCTCCTCTCCCTACTCTTGGGAGCCTCCCTTGTGATTCCTGAGACTCTCTCCTGAGAAAGGGTCCCCAGTGTTTTTCCTCTGACTTAAGGAATGTGCCTCCAGGTATCCAAACCCCTCTATCTGGATGCTGCAGCCACTTCCCACCACTCTGCAGCTTTCCAAGAGCTAAAAATCCCAAGGTATGGAGCAAACCCACCGAGATTAAGATCCAATTAAGGAAAAGCATTAATTGTGCTGGTTACAAAAACCCTGACCCACCTTTGGCTTCGCTCTTGTCCTTTTTCCTGCTGCCACGGCCGGGCTCCTGCACCTTCCTCGCTGCCTCCTCCCGCCTGGCTTTCTCCCTCTGGACTCTCTCCAGGTGCAGGGATTTCAGGTCCACTTTCCCCGAGCCCTGGCTGCTTTCCCCTGGCTCTGCAGGGTCAGGGGTGTTCCCACTGGGATGCTGGGGCTCGGAGGGCAGTGGGGGCTCAGGAAGGGGCTCGGAGAGCAGTGGGGGCTCAGGAAGGGGCACAGAGGGCAGTGAGGGCTCCTTGGGGAGTCTCTTGTGGACACTGATGTACCTGTCCCGGCCCTCCCCAGAGCTCAGGTGCTGCAGCCCGTACTCCTCTGCCAGCACGTGAACCAGCATCCGCTCGTGGGAATTCAGGGATGCTGGGAAATCCAGCTGCACCTCGCTGCTCGCCAGGAAGGCCACCAGCATGGCCCTGAACTTGTCCCCACGCTCCTTTGACC